ATTTGAAGTTAGGGTTTTTTTTCCCTGGACCTGATGCTTCCTTCCACCTCTTGCATGGCCTAGTCAATATAAATACATCACTTTGTGTGTGTGTGTAAGAACTGCTTTTCTTAAGAGCAGCACTGTAAAAACAATGGTAGAGTTTTCAGGAAGTCCCTCCCTCCAGATCGACGTAACATTCATACCTACAGTGAGCTCTACCTGTCTCTAGTATTCTCGGGAAATGAGGTAGAAACTTTCACTGCCTGCTTCTGACGTTCCCAAAGGTGAAGCGCAGACTGAACGCGAGCCTGTGCTCAATGCAGAGCCGAGCACCTGGTCTGGGTCGCAGTCCATTTTGCGCTGTGTCCTCGCACCAGAGGCCCCCGGTCCTTGTCTGGGGCCCGCAGCGGCTGCTTGTCGTCTCCCTGCCCTCCCCAGAACCCAAGCGCCTCTGCAGGAGCGCTGCCTGCGTCTCGGCTGGGCGGACGGGATCTCCAGATAGTTCCTCTTCTCTGGGCTGAAAGCTCTGTGGCAAGGCATTGCGGGGTTGTGCGGGGAGCTGGTGTGGAAGGACAGGGTCTTCTGTGAGCGTCACCATCAGCAGAGAGGTTATAATCAAGCTGAGGGTGTAGTCTAAAAATACTTCTATTCTGCTTCCACCTTGTTAACCAGCATATAGATTGAATTTACATCCGTCACTGTTTTCAGCCGAAAGATCAGAGCGTTCATGAAAAGGGCCTTCACTTTAGAGCAGTCGGTAGGATGTGGAGTATGTTTTGCTCTTTGCTTTCATGTTGTTTGTTCTTTCACACTTTCTCTAGAATTCATGTCTGAGTAGGGAACTTAATTTATTAAATATTAACGTAACTGGCTGGGATGTGTAGGAAGGCGTGAGGTTTTGATCATTTGGATTGGTTCCATTTGTTCACAAGGGTTACTGTTTCCCGCTGTGGATTTAATCTGACTTTTCTGTTGTTTTTTTCTTTTATGAATTAGCTGATGTTTTGTACGGTATCAACTGTTCTGTAACTTTTAAGGACACTTGGAATGAAATGAAATGAAAACAGATGTTCTTTAGTAACATTCACTTTACGGAATTTGCTGTCTTAGAGGACTGCATCTGTACTTCTTTTAACGTTACAGTGTGCAGATGCTGGAACATCCTCTCCCTCAAGTATATGCACTTTTTCCTCTCTTCAACCTCACTTTGGATTCAGGCATACACACATTTATTTAGAATTAGACCTGTAAGTGGTAGTGCTGGTTATGATTCACATTTCTGTCACGTTTTTTGTATAAAAACCTGATTTTAGTGGCTCGTAGCTTTGCAGTCATTTGAAGTGGGAGAATTATTTCATAAGCTGATTGAAATGTTAGGGGTGTTGTAGGGTAAATCTAGAAGCTCAACTTTGCGTTTCTGAGCTCACAAGACACCTCTGTGACAACGTATCTGGTTTTGTAGCCTTTGTAAGTATGAGAAAATCATATATCGGAGCGACAGTAAAAGATGTTGTCAAGATTGTCTCCCGGCTCTGCTTAAATACATGCTGTGGAACCGCTGCAGCAGAAAACATGAATCACAGAAGGGAGATGCTGTGGGTTTTGAACCAACTTCCTGATTTGGGGTGGTCTGGTTAATAGTTTTCAGTTCTAGTTGAATAGAAACTGTGAATTTAATTCTAATTTAATGAGTTGTAGTTGAATTCTATGAATTCTAGCTGAATTCTATGAGTTGAATTCTAGTTGGTAGCGCTGGCTAACTCTAAGTGCTGTAGAAACGTGCTTCTGTAACCTGGCTGCTTGTCTTAGCTTTCCCCATTTAGATTTTTGATTTGGTTGCAGAGTATGGATAATGTCAAATTAGGAAGCTTAAAGAATAAATAGGTTTAATGATCCAAGTGCCTCTGATTTTTTGTGTTACCCTCACTAGAAAAAAACAAAGGAGCGAGCAAGCAGGGGTAACAGAAAAGAACACAGAGTCCTTGTTTGCTAAAGATGAACATAGCCTTGCAGGCATCAAAAAGCTGCTCTTAGAAGAAAATAGTAAGAGTTGTTCAGGGAGGGCAGGGATTTTTGTGCTTTATTTTTCTTTGTGTTTTCTACTCCCTCTTCATTATTCTGAAGTAAGCTTACTGCTGATCTTTTAAGCGTATTGTAAAGTCTCCATCTCTGTTCCCAGGCTTTTCAGGAGGAAGAGGGCAGCTGAGGGCAGGGGAATGTTGGGGATGGGATTAGTACATAGCAGAGAGGTTTGTTTTCCCTTTGCACGTAGAGGAAATTACTAGGATTGCTTGTGTTGTTGATGTTAATTTGTCTTTCTTAATACATGTCTAGGCACCTAGAGCTTTTATGCTTCCAGAAATTTAAATAAACAAATCTAGAGATAAGAAAAAGCTTAATCTTGCTATTGTAGCTACATATAGTGGGTTACATTTTCAAAAGTTGCAATTTGGACTCCTTCTTTTCATAAGTGGGTCATGAACTTACATCCCCTTCAATAAATGACTAAAACTGGAGGTATTAAGGACCATTTGGAAAATATTTTTTTTTAAATGTGTATGTGTCTCAGTACCCAATCAACCATTAAGTTTCTGTGCTGCTTACAAGTTGTTCAAACATTTGAGCAACGGAAGGTATTCCCACCAGCTACTAACTGGCATGTGACCGTGCAAAGGGTAGTTATTAGCAGGGTACTTACTCCTTGTAGTCTCCCCACAGAATCAACTAAGAGAAGTTTCTTCCCCAGTTCAGAACAAGGCTCATCACCTTCTGGAAGAGCCTTTTACTTTACATTGCCCATCCAGGGAACTAGAGACACGGCTTTTTTTAACTGAGCTGCTCAAATAAATGCCCTATGTCAGGCAGCATATTTACTTCCTCCTTCCCCATCACCAGCTCAAATATGATGATTTTAAAAGTAGTAATGTTACCTTCACCTCCATTCTTCTCCTGAAGTCTGTATGGTACATTCACACCAGTTCATTTTCAAAACGAAGTGGAAGCCTGTTGGCTTCAGCCCTAGCTGCATCAATGGCTCTTAGCCATTTGACTGGTACTATTGGGTGTATACACAGACAGCATTCCCTTAGAAAAGACTCACCTGATGTTTCACAACTTCAACCATTAGTCATAACTTCGGTGACCTTCCTTGATACAGTGTTGTGTTTCTAATCTGTGAACGGTGGTGGTCCTTGCGCCTTCCTGATCACCAGGATATTCTGTAATTGCCTTGCTCCCAGTGTGGATGAGAGCAGCTTTCGGCCCCCTCTGATCTGCAGTGACTCTGCGGCATCCCCAAGGCACCAAGAGCTCTTGCCCTGCTGTTCTTTCCCTGCACGTAATCGCCATGCTATTACTCGAGAGAAAAGGGTGAACAGCAACTGAAGGCAACTCGCCGATTCCCCGTTTCAGCAGAGAGCCCCGAGATGGATCCCCAGCTTTCGCGTGGCTTTATGGTAGTGAATTAGCACTAAGTGGCTGTAAGAGTGGAGGACTGGGACTGCGTCCACAGGCTTGTCCCTCTAAAACATTAATGCATGCTCCCACTAGTGGTGCCAAAGATTCCAGCGAGACTGTTTACCCGCTCAAATTGAAGCAAATGCTGAAGTGGATAGATTCTACTGTGCATTGGAAAGGAGATGCTAAAACAGAGGACAAATCCTTACAGTCTGACTTCCTGAGGAATCAGAAAACCACATTTTCTCTACATGGTTAGGAATAATCTGGGTGAACTTCATGTTTTCGGATATGAAGTTGTCTATTCACACAACCTGAGTTGGCGTTTATTGTATTTGTAAACATTCTCATGTTTAGGTTTCTGTTGTGAAATTTTATTTCTTGACTGCAACCACGTTAAAGCAAGGTTAAATGTCTCGACAGCATTACATAGAGATGATTACAAAAGTTTTGTTTAGAAGAAGGTCACATAGGAAAAGTTAGTGGGAGCACTCTTTAAAAGCAGCTGTTAAGGTCTTATGCACTTAATTTTTGCGATAACTAGCTTGGAGGTTTATTATTTAGACTTGGACTATACTATAAAATTTTCTGTGAAGAGAGAAGTAAGGTTTTTTAATCCTCATGGAAAGGCAATATCTTACTGGACACACAAACCCTAAACCTCTGCCAAGAGGGAGGGTCATGAAAGGTTACTTAACAGGCTGCCTGTTTACCTTCCCTGGCCATCTAACCAGACTGTGTGAAAACAAAAAAGTGCTGCACGCATTTCTTTGGTTTTCTTGGCCGCACACTTTAGACCATGCTCTGTGATCAGGCCGGTACGTGCAGGTCTCTGGAAGGCTGCAGGGCTGTAGGGGTGGGTGGAAGCACCCAGGGCTATTCACTAGGCATGGAGCTTTGGCGTGGATGGGCTGAGGTGCTGTTGGCAGCCGGGGTGACGCACACGCTGCAGAGTTTTAACCTGCAGCAGCTGCCACCACGTTCCCTGTTATCTGCTGGCTTTTCTCTAAGGGCTTGGGGTTGCCCCTGGCTCCTACAGTCTGCTTTTTGGTCCTGAACCACTGCATTACAGTGGTGCATTACAGTAATTGCCAGACTGACCTTTCCTCCCTCCTGACCTGAGCTGGCAAGACAGGCACATCTACACTAAAAGTTTCTGAGTGGGGGTTTCCAAATCCATGAAAATTGTCTCCGCTGTCACCACATAACTCCATTTGCCAGTCTTTGCATTTATAATTCAAAATATTTCTTTGTGCTCCCAAAATTGCCTGATAGTAGCTTTAATCTGTCTCATTCTTTTGGATTGAGGTTACTAGCTAATCAAAAATTCCTCTTCATTAAGATAAATCACTTTAAAAAACCCACTTTTATTAGTCAGAGGAAATCTATTTCTTGTCATGAAGTTTAAGGACTTTGTTAACAATTTAAATTTCCAAGTTATGTTTTTGAAATATGAGAAGTTTCAGGTTATTTCTTGCTTCCAATAAAAGTGATGATAAAGCATAAATGAGAAAAGTAGAATGAAAATTTAGAGAAATTCTTAAGCATTTATTTAATTTTGACATGTTTATTTTTCACTTTTAAAATATAAGTTAGCTAAAATATATATTAAAAAAAGGCATTATCAAAACCCTTTTTGTTTAAAAAAGCAAGTGTAATGGGTTGAAAATGTTGAAGTATTTCCCTAAGCTTTTCTTGAGTAAAGACATTTAACAAACCCTTTCTATACTCTTACTTTTGGAAAAAAAAAAACCCAAAACACCAAACGCTTTCCAAAGAAAAATGTCTAACCAGATATTCCTATTTAGCTTCAGGAGGAAGTGACTAGTTTGTTCATTTTATAGATCAACAACTTTAAGTAAAGCTGAGCAAAGCCGGTTTTGGTCCTGTAGATAAAAAGACCAAATTTAATACCTCGAAGATTTATCTGAAGGTTAAATGATGCCAAGTTGAATGGAGTAGGAAACAATTTCTATCTGCAAAGGGCACAGTTCGTTCCAACATATCGTTACAGTTGGAGGAAGGTATTCCATTTAAATGTGTATATTTGAGAGAGGGAGATCAGGAAATGAGGAAAAATGATCAACTGCTGAATAGCAAGAATCATGAGGAAATACAAATATATGTTTCTTTTTTACCTTA